TGCCTTTGCCTCTGGACGGCTCGTGCCGCAGTGGCACGAGAGGGAAGTAAATCTTGTTGCGTCTGTGTCCGTCCGGAACGCGGAAGTGGGATCAGGGATTCAGAAGTCCTGGAGTGCAGTGCCTGGGCCACGGTAGCTTCGAACCCTCGAGCGTCCAACTTCAAACAGCGCAAGGATCATCTTTGTGCCACTTTGGTTCTCAACTTATTCGAGCTCGCCTGCTTTGATTCCCAACCACGCGGTTGCAACTGATGCGAAAGCCTCGCAGGCGCAGCGCCATGGAGCTCGACGGGGATTCCTCATTCAAATCCGGGCGGCTCGGGGGTCCTTCCTCCGCCACGGCCGTTTCGGAGATCAATCTACCGTGCGCACTGCGGATGTTAGCGCCAGCCGGATGTGTTCAAATTCCGTGTCGACAGACAACAAAATCGACCTGAAATCTGAACCGAGTCCACTCACCTTCCTGTGTTATAGGCCAACTTCTCCGTCAGTGCCCCAGCCTAACACCGCGCGGCATTTCTGATCCTGCAACACCGGTCCACCGAACTCGGCTGAACAATGAGGCGTTATAGGTGTCTTACAAAGATGGTCCGTGCGCAAACTTGAAGCTGACCAATGAGGTGTTATAAGTTGCCTGGGCAAGGGACGACCGCCGGTACGCCGCTTCCTTCAAACTACTATCATGGCCACGTCTTCCGCAGCATCAATTTTCTTCTACGACATACCCTCCAAGCTTCCTATAATCTGCTGGTCGCCGAACCTCTGGAAGATCAGGTGAGTCGGGCAGTCAATCTTCACCTCTGGGTACCCAACAATCTCAGATACGCGCTCAATTTTAAGGGAATTCCGTACACTACCGTCTGGGTCGAGTACCCCGACGTGGAGGCCAAATGCAAGGAACTCGGGGGCGCGCCCACGACGACCAAGCCCGACGGATCCGGACGCCCGCACTACACCCTCCCTATGATCTACGACCAGTCCACAGGTAACACCTTTCCTGGTCTATAACGAATGTCGCGTCCGACCGACCCCACTACAGGCGCAGTTATCACCGATTCAATGAACATCGTCACCTACCTCGACGCGACGTACCCCTCCCTTCCACGACTCATGCCGCCCAACACAGCCGGCCTCCAGCACGCCTTTGACGCCGCCGCAAACGCCTTGATGACACCCATCTACCCATACGTACTCCCCGGGGCTTACAAGATCCTCAACCCCCGCAGCGCAGAGTACTTTGGACGTACACGTAAAGCAAAGTGGGGTAAACCACTTGAGGAGCTCACTCCGCGGGGCGCTGCAGATGAAATCGAGTGGAAGAAATTGAAGGATGGATTCGGCAAGCTCGACCAGTGGATTAGAGTGAACGGAGACGGCGGCAAAGGCAAGTATCTGATGGGCGAGACGGTATCGTATGCGGATCTGTGGATTGGTTCATTCTTGCAGTCGCTCAAGCTGATTTTGCCGGAGAGATGGGATGATGTGAAGACATGGCACGAGGGGAGATGGGCGGGACTGCTGAAAGATCTCGAGATGTACGAGACTGGCCGGCAGAACTGAACAAAAGAGAGGATCAGCACCACGCACTCGAGCATATACTCCATACTAGTACTACTACCCTTCGAAGACGAAAACACATACGAAAGTTGAGTGGTCCAGCGGCGGACTTGATCTGTCGGGCGTGCGTGTGAAGGAGAAATTCAAACCAACAAAGAAAACATATGACAGAAAAGCAAACGACCGAAATCGAATCAAGCTCGGAGCCCCCGCAGCCCTCTCAAAACATCCTTCATATCCCGTTGGTTCCACTGCCCCGACCACCCATGCGCCGGTTCGTCGCGGACCAAAAGACCGTCCCACGCCGGAGACACAACGTACGCATCATGGCCATCCGTATGCTCGGACGGCTTCTCCTCCTCCTCCCCTGGCATGGCCCGTGGAGTCGGCGTCAATGACCTAGACCAAACAACGTCCTCTTCTACATCATCATCCACGGACGAAACCGAATTCGAAATGGACGCCCCATCCTCCGAGATATCGGATCCAAACGACGGATGCGCGTGCAACTGCGCGCTGCTGGTCGACGTGGATGTGCGCGTGGAGAAGGAGATAGACTGTGCGTCAGACGTATGGAGAATACTCGAATCGTCGGTGGTGGTGATATCCGAGTCGGTGTCGTCGTACGAGTGGGAACTTGTAGTCTTGGGTCGTCGGGGCGGAGATCTAGAAGTCGTTGGAGCTGCTGAAATCGAGGCCAACCGCTGCATCTCCATCGCCCGTGCCCATTCATTCACATCCAAATCGAGATACGAAGCTGCGTACGTTTGCTGCCCGCCGCCTGCGAGGAACTCGATCCCGGAATCACGCCGTGAGGAAGATGAGGAATCCATCGTCGAGAGGGTGGAGATGCTCCCACGTCGAAGAGCCCGTGGTGCACGTGCCCGAGCTGACATCGCCCCAAGCGCGTCATCCATACCCAACGTACGCGCGAGTTTCGAGAAACCGTGCGCAGTGCGGGATGATGACGAGCCCGGCGGCACACGCTCGGCAGGAGCCGGGGCGAACGCAATGTCGCTGATGACCGTGGCGATCGAATCAACACGGGTGAGTTGGCCGAGCGCGTCCATCCCAGGACGCACCGCATCCGTCTCACGCCCCTTGCCCTTCCACAGAGACTTGACGCCCTTCCTGGGTTTACTCGGGTCGGAAGGGGTTTTGACCTCTGGCTGACGGGAGCCGGCTCCACCACGGCCAGTAGGGCGATAGACGACTTTCGAATGGAGTGGGGGTTGATTTGGATTGGGTGCTGCTGGAGTGGGAGTGGAAACAATGGCGGGAGGGGAGGGTACGGGATGCCGCGGGTCCTCGAATGACGTCGTAGATTCAAGCTGCCGAGGTCGAGCACCTGCGCCTCCGCGACCCATGATGCGAGTACCCTCGGGCACGCGACGCGCGTGGGAGGTCACGGGTAAGGACGTAGAGGTAGACGCGGAGTCGGTGGAAGGGAGAGTTCGTAGTCGGGACCCAACGCCTCCTCGCCCAACAACGCGGACGGAGGCATTGGAGACGCTGACGCTGGGTCGGTGCTGTGAGTTGCCGCTCACGGTATCTATGCATCCAATGAGCATCCACGGATACCGAGTAAAATTAGTCGATCGTGCGCACTAGCTCGGGGGATGAATCGATTCATGGAAAACTTGCTGGAAGACGCCGTCTGCTGGTACGTCGGTGCAACGTGTGGAAGCTCCAGGACCACATCCGAGTCCATGTCGAAGAAGTAAGTAACAAGAGCTGTGAAAGGCGGAAGGCGGAAAGTGGGGAAAATGATGAATCCAGGGGTGGGACGGAAAAGATAAGTATAGCTCCACAGGGAGATCCTTTACCGTGGGGGCCACGAGGTCGAGCCTCAGCAATGACGACCAACAGCAACGGGAAGATCACATCTTTGATGCTAATGATGCGCGGATAAGCCATTGAATTTCACCGCGGCCAACAGCGCCCAACTCACCACATTCAATCTGCAGCACGACTTTAGCGACGAAAAGACCTGCGGAGGTCGTTGGCGTAGAGGATCAAAAAAAGCGTGGAAGGCTTGTAGTTCGCCGGGTTGAAGCAATCCATCATGATGTGCGAGGGAGCGGGCTTCTCTGAGATCTGTGCCTGAGTGAGATGGGTGGAGCACGACGGCGGTCATCGGTAAATCAACATAAATCATTTGAGAGATGACAATTTGCTGTCGGCGGCGGGGCACGAAACGAGCATGGCCCTATTGAAAGTATTCAATACGCAGACTCAAGGAAATTGTATTGTTGATGTACGCAAGCGGGGATGATTCGGGCTGATAACCCTGCACTCCGGTGATCGTCAGAGCTGGACGAGGACCAAACGAGGACAGACGAGGACACGCTTCGGACACGCCAAGCTTTATGTAATGGATCTGGGAATAGAACAGCCCACCAGTGAAAGGCCGTCGACGAGTCGGGCTTGCAGAGAAGGTTCGTTGCAGAGAGAGAGTATCGAAGTGCCCAGTGCAGCGAGTGGTGAGGAGAGAAGGAAAGGAGAGAGAGGAGACCGTGACGTGGCGCATCAGCCATCAATGTGTCACGGCTGCGCACAGGTCATACATCCACACAATGCTTGTTCCCTCCCCAAAATTCCCCGCCCGGTCGGCCTTCAGACGCGTTGAGCCAGCTTCGTCTTTTTCGACGCCAATACCCACAATTCTAGCCGCTGGTCAATCAATTGCCATTGCGTTGCCATCTAAATCATGTTGCCGTCTCAACGCCGTTGGTTGCCGTCCGAGTCCTTCGAATGATCGGTGTGCGGTTGTTCGGAGGATGGATCTCTCCTGCCACTGGTAGGACCCTGCATTCAAGTTCCATCGAATATTCCAATACCTACATAGCCGGTGTCTCACTTGCAAATCTCTCCTCTCCCTCTCTTGTCTTGAAGGGTCGCCGCCGCACTCCGAATACTGCTACTTATTTTGTCTTCGTGCAAGCGTTCTATGGCTCTTGCTGGGGGCTGAAAACTCCCCACAATCAACATCCAACTACATAAGTAGTACATACATATGTAACAACGTTGAATCCTAACTCTCTTCGCTCTGGCTTCGACGCGAGGTCGAGGTGGTATCGTATGAAAAGCCGCTTTCAACTTGATTCTAGTGCGAACATCGGCGTCCGATCGGCGATACCCTGCTGGAGTGTGTGGAACCCGCACATGAGAGCAAGTCTGTCTCTTGTTGCTCACACCGGGCGGGCGATGTGGTCCCGTTGGTACGCTCCAGCTCTCTCGGCTGTTATTTTTCTCTACCGTTTTGAGATGGTGTATAGTCATCTAGTCATCCTCCGGCGAGTCCTGATTCATCCCGTGCCTGCGGGTTGTACGAACCGATTACATCGTCTATGGCTCGTCAACCTTGACATTGACCCACAACACACAGTGGCCCAAGCGATGGGAAAGACTCGGAAGCACAGGCACAACCGGCAAAAGGATATCGACACCTGTGCGATTCGAACACACGCGGGGAAACCCCAATGCCTGAAACTTAACATTCTCGTAGCCGAGCATAGCAGGGCATCGCCTTAACCACTCGGCCAAAGTGTCACAACGTAAAGGCGCTTGTCCTGGCATTCCTATCGGAAAAGTAGTTAGATATATTGCACAGTGAAAACCTTTCAGTTCATCGCGTACAGTCCCACGCAAATAGTCTGCCCTTTGATTTATGTAGAACCACTTGGGAACTCTTGGGGTAACGCATGCAGGCGGTCGTTCTTCCGTTCAACATTTTTTGCAAGCAAGTACACAGGTAAATCAAAAAATCAACATAGGTTTGAACACACAAAAAATATTCCGAGTCTGCAGCCCTCGCAGGAACTATGTAAGGGAAACTTTTGGGGAAATTGCTCATGTGCAAACAGGAAGTATGATGGGGTACAATGGACTCGGAACACAGACCTCGATGTAGGTGTTAACGGTATTGCCGATCGCGGTGTCCAATGCAGCCTTATCCGAGGAAATCGTGTCTGCCGCCCGACTGGACAGGCCCGGCACGGTTGCCTGCGTGGGGATCAATGCAATCAGGGCGTCGGCAACCGCCTGTTGAATTGAGTAAGTTCGGTCAACGTGTGGAAGCGGGGGGATTCACATCAACCACTATTTCGAGACTGCGTAACACGGCCGCAATGGGCGCGGTGAGTTCAATTGCAAATTGCGCAAAGATGGAGTGTTTGCCAATGACGGTCGCGAGGAAGGCCTGGTGAATTTCAACGAACTGTCGTCATATCAGTACTTGTGCCGCTGCAAGTTCAATATGTCCGGGATTGCCCACATTGTCCAGTGCGGCAACAACTTCTGCCCCGGGCGTCTCCTGACGAAGGGCGTGCACATTTTGAGCTACACTCGGGAACGGAGGCGTCGCCTGAAGGGCGGGAATGGTGGCATTGACAGCGTTGATAATGCCAGTGAAGTCGTTGACCAGGTTCTATAAATCAGTCCCGTCGTTAATACGAGGCAATACAGCGGGAAAAAAGGATACTGACCACCTCGAAAACAACCACTTGGGCCCCTGCCGTCGCAGTGGAAAGTGGTTGAAGAGCAGCGTTCGCGTTGCTGGACAGATTGGCCGCAGCGTTGATGTCCTTGACGATCTCTGGTTCCGTCACTTGCGCTGTGACGGGCAGAGCGAGAGCAGCGAGTGCGATGAATGTAGCTGTGAGGGAGAGCTTCATTGAAGAAAGAGTCAATGGGCAAGAATCTGCTGGGGAAAAGACGACAGAACCGCCTCTCATTTTATGCTGCTCGGGCGTGCTGTTACAGCGGTCGGGGTGCAAATAATAAAAGACATGTTGTTCTTAGTACTTGATTCTCGAGAACCACGGACGCCATCTACTTGTGGGTTTTTAGCAAAGAAGTGTCCCAGACCCGCATGGGTTTCCGAACCAAGCCGTCACCGGTTTTCTACTTGCCAAGATTCCAGATGTGAACGGTGCTCAGGCTGGAATTTATCGACAAAATAAGTATACGATGGATTACAAATTGACGACCTGGTTGGTCCATTATCTCAGCTGTGTCCGTTCATTTCAAAGTTGTCGCGGAGGGCTGTCAAAGTTGACCCTCACGCGCGACTAAATCGGGATCGACTTGGGCTTTCTCAGCCAGTCATCTCAGGGCTCCACCTCCGTTAAAAGACCCGTTACATCCCAGGTGGAGCCATTGCCTTTCTCATTAGTGGCCTTTCAACGGATTTCACGGGTGTTGTTGGTAGCTTAACGTACTCTTGGCGTATTCAACCTTTCGAGCGCTAAGTATCTTGGAGCATTGGTTGGAGCGGTTGCTCATCTCCTTCATTCCCTGTTGCAAAATTGGCGTGCAGGTGTACTAATGAGACGGTGCCATGCGCAAGCAGCTTTCACACCCATCTTCAAATTGGCAGCGCATCGTCCAGCGCATCGTCTTCGGTGTGGATCACCGCCGCCCACAGAAGCTACCTTGAGTAATCTTCTAACTCCCTCGGACAGATGTGCGAGCTAACTGAGCACCTTGAGAAGATGCCCGAGAACCGTCAAACTCTGAGTGAAATATTTTTGAAAGTGCTCCAGAGCTTTGGCTTACGGATGGCGGCGCAGGGGCGAGAATTCGAGGAGTGACGCCACCGTATGGGGTGAGGCGCGCGTCTGGGAACCCATTGAGCGGACCTCGATTCCAATTCAAGTTTGATTCGTTTGCTGGCAACCACAGCCAAAAGAAATGAAACCCAACCAGCTCAAATTCAACTTCAATGCATCGATTTCGGCATGAGAGAAACTTAATGTCGAGGTAGTTGATGTCGAGGTAGTTGATGAACTTTTAGATTCAGCACCCGGCGATGTAATTTTCCCAGTGATGAGAATGTTCACGATGTTGACATGGGCGACAGCTATACTTGATCCAGGGTACTATATACCGGTAGTAGCCAGACACACCTAGCACCCCGAAAAACAGTGCTCGAAACGAATGGTGGTTTTTCAATCCAACTGAATGAGTTTGGATCAAACCAAAACTCGGGTCCGCCGACACTGGCCAAGCCAGACCGGTAAATTTTCCGGGCCGTTTGCACCACTAGGGTCCGCTGATCGTGAACTGGATGAACAATGACAGCTCGAACGGTTGGAAGACGTAGATGTGATGATGTTCGAGAAGGGAAGAAGAAGGGCGTCTGCGCCAATCACAGAGGCCCATTCCAAGTTGGATACAAAGCCGAGCGGCCCGGCTGCACAAGCAGAAGCCATACGCCAGTCGATGGGGAGCGCATTGCAATCATCGCGGAACCTGTTCGTATGAGCTGCCCGCTGGTTCTCAGGTAATACTGGCCTACTGACCAAAGTATGTAACACCAATAAGCGGAGACCATGCGGGCGTGATGAGGGGAAAATGGCTGTTCTTAGAGGTGCATGTGCCGCTTAGACCTAAGACTCCACTTGATGCAAATGTGGTGTGGCAAGTTGCCTTCACCAGGAAACCGACAAGGCGAGTAGACACAGGTACGTAGCCGGTCGACTGCGCAAACTCCGAGTTGAGTCAGCTGGATGGTTATGTACTTGACTGAAGCCGATTCGAGCATCAATAGCGAGACGGAGAGACCGACTTTGAGGGTTCTTAGAACGAGGAGAATTGGGAGAGAAGTCTGAATTACTAGGGGAGTGTTCAGCGCGAGATTCAGATGAAAAGAGCGACGCTTGAAGGAGCATGACACGGATCATATATGAAGAATACAGTGCAGATCAGCCAAAGGGCAGCATGTGCCCGGAGTCCGGATGCCGCAGTGAATTCTCTCTCGATATCGCAGCGCGGGGAATTTCCTGTTCCTTTGGTTCAGAGATCACTTGAGGTTGACAACCAATATCGTGAAGGCTTGATTCTGGTACCGCATCAGGCCTTCCGCAAGAAAAACGAATGTCGCAGTTGGTCCACCGAGTTCCCCGGTGGACGACAAGAGCCGGTCTGGGTAAAGACTTCTTGCCAGCGGTAGAGCCTAGAGGTTGCAATTGATCAATGCGCTGGAGGATGTACCGCTCCAACTCGGGAGGGAAACTGAGAGGTCATGGGAGTTGAGAGCAAAAGCGTCACAGGCGTGACTTGATGAACACCAGTTCCATGGACATGCCGGGATCAGGCCGATCGCCAGAATAATCTCCACCCAGAGATACCTGGCACCGAGCGGGGCTGAAAAAGCAGCCGGTCCCAGTCTTGAACACGGCGATGAAGCACTTCAGGCAGGAAGCCATGATCGCCAACACCGTCTCCCTTCCAGGGGCTCAACTCGCATATTTAGATGATTGGATCAGTTGACCCCCAAATTATTCGCCACAGCCCATTAGACACTATGTAATGTACTAATATCCCGTATAAAATCCAGTGAATTCAAGAGATGAATGAATTCCGCGCCATCCGATGAGCTTCCCGGCGGTCAATGGGCCACCAAGTTCACCCGAGACAAAACCGTCCGCATCTATGTACTCATCATCAGCCTCCAGAGAAACAAGAGGGAGATCCGGAGCGGACACTCACGTTCCACTATTCTGCGATGGACTTGTTGGGAGGATGCAGCAGGTTTGGCTGGTGGGGCCTGGGAGTCAGGTTTCAGCTCGCTGCTCGAAGCCGTGTTGCCGATAAGGGGGGGTTGGCACTCACAATCCTAGTACACGAGGAAAGCGGATGAACGTCGGTGACAGAATTGAATGGTGCGTACTCACATCGGACGTCAAACCTGTCCGAAAGTACCGCTAATCAGAGATTGTCGAGAGAACTCCGAGCGGGAATCGACGTACACGTAGCACTCTGCGGGACAGTTACACCTTCGTGCACCAGAGCAAGGATGGTGAGAGCAAAGACAAGATGAGCGGAGAGGATCTTCTGCAACATGGCTGGAGGGATTGAGGCCTGCTGGCACGCAAACCCGCTATACTTATATACGAGGCCCAGCTATAAAAGGGAGGAGTTATATCGAAACGGCCAGGTCACCGACAAGAATATGCGTGGTCTAGATTTCAACCCAGGTCTTTGGTAAATTGTAAATTTGTGGAGCCTCTGGGTGGCGAACTTGTCCCGCTACCGCAGCCGGCGAGTGCAAGGGAAGCGTCGACATTCGAGCGCACGCCACGAGGATAGGTAGAGAGAGCGATTGGAGGGGTATTCTTGTAATCAGATTGGAAACGACGAGCGCCAGCGCCACACCTTGAGGAGATAGCGCATTGCGGGATTTGTCGTCAGCTCGGTGTGAGAAGTACCAAGGTAGGCTGCGTGGTACACGATAAGGTTGAGGTGGGGAGGAGCAGTCGGGTCCCAGTAATAGATGTTTGACGGAGGATTGAAACGGTAGAGTACTAGTACCGCCGAAGTTGGTCGCGAGCTCGAGCAAGTGAAGAGAGCCAGAAGAAAGGTGCTGTAGCCGTCGCGCAGGAGGGGCTCGTGGCCATCCTCGTCGTGAAGGACGACGTCGCCGTACATCGAGGTCGGAGGTTTCGGCCTATCCCTCTTTTATCTGAGTACTTCCATGCGCACTTGACAGCGCACCGAAGTCTCGCACAAGAGATTCGCAATCCCAACGCAATCCTGCCCTGCAGGGC